CCAACCACATACAATCTTTTTCTTTTTTTCTCTTTTATCTACTTCTCTTCTCACTCTTTTACTTCTTCCCTCCCCCCCCCCCCCCCCCCCCCCCCCCACCCCCACAACAAAATTTTTCCCGGCGCCCCCCCCCCCCCCCCCCCCCCCTCGAATTAGGTCACAGTCGTTTTTCATTTCTCTTGATTTTCTTCTCAGATAATAAGAAACAAAGGGAAAGGACTCGACAGGTCAGGCTAAGTAAATGTACCAATAGCAGGCTAAATAATAGTATCTCTTCATTAAAGAGAGGAAACATTTTTCGGTAAACTTACAGGGTGTTCTAGAATTTGGAACACTTTGTATTTGAGCTATTTAAACAGAGTTCATAAATTGATGAGTTGCGTCTATAACTTGTTGACAAGATCTTGAATATATTCCTTTGAAATACCAGAAAGAATATGCGGTATTGATTCAGAGTAAAATAGAGTAAATGGAATACCTGGCAAATTAAAAAATGAATGTAAAACACCTTGGATAAGAACAAGTTGAGTTTTAACACCAGCTTTGTCTAATAGTTTTTGATATTCTGGAGCATCAATAGCAACTAATAAAAGTTGCAGCGGCACTCTTGTATTTAGTACTAACCGTAACTATCATCACGTACTGCATCTAATTCAGCTACAATAAATAAACATGGAGGTAAATTGTTAAATGACGATTGTAATAATAATGAAACACGTGAATCTCGTATGTCATTCTCATCTCGAAAAGCATTTTTATGAAACCTATCAAGAGACAACAAGTGAAATACACAGTGTGTAACAAATACTAGTTGTAACTACCATTTTCTCAGTTCTGGTGTTATGAGGTATTGACTATCAATAAATTGTTTGTGACTAGATGATTGACCATCAAAATCTATTATTGGACAAACTAAAATCTATATTGAATAAAATGATTATTCTGGACAACACAGTAACTAGTTTACGTTACTTGAAAATCAATACTTTTTAATGTATGACAGATTGATGCAGCTATGGTACCTCCGCCACTATCACCTGCTACACCAACCTTCGTTGATTCTTCAGCACCTTTCATTTTATGAAATATAGTATCCATGTTTTACACGAATGATCACGAGACGAAAAGTATATAAAACACATACCAAACCATGTTTTATATTTTAAAATATATTTTGTTACTTCCAAACAATCATCTAACCATACTGGATATTTGTATTCGGGTGAGAGACGATATTCAACTGAACACCAGATAGTTTGTGTTGATCTAAGACGAAAAACATTTTTGTGTGAGGCTAATCTGCAGTGTGAAACTTCTGTCTCGGCCTTTTTATTTGACACGTCGTGCTATGATGATTGTCTCTTGAGGAGTGTCAGAAAATCCAAGTATGTAGACAATTTGATTTAGCGTTTCTCGTCATTTGATTCATTCTCTTACTCGGCTAATAGATTAACTATTGTCTGATGTGTTTTCCTTGAACCCATACATATTCCACCTCCATGAAAAAAAATGACCAATTTATTATTATTAACTTTTGTTGGTGTCGATATTGTAATGGGAATTTCTATAAACACACAGTCTATCTGCCTTATCTCTTATAGATTCGGAGTAGAACTACATACTTTCACGTGATGGTATTGGAATAAATGTTTCTTTTTCTGTTCCATTAAATGTATTTGATAATTTTTTATTCGTTTTTTCAGCAGTCAGTTCCATTCGTTCTCTCATTGATTCTACGTTAAATGATTTCAATGGTGGTAAACAGTTTGTCATAAATTCTAAATGAGCTAATGCTTCGTCGTTCATTACTGGATTCATATGTATTGTCCTTCTCAATCTACAATAACACTGCAGACGCCAAGAACAACTTCCCTAATGAAGAATGCAATTTCGGTAGAAGAGAGAACGCTTTTTACAATTGATCGAAACATGTTTTGAAAACATGTATCCCAGTGAAAAGTTTCCAAAAAAAGCGCTCGCCGCTTTGTACGTGGAGTGAATCTGGAGAGTGTTTAATACTGGAACAATAAAAATGCCCGAAAAACGCGTATCAAAAACCGGTGCACCTACATACGCGTACTTATGTCGATAACCTCGATTACGCGAAAAGATCTGTCGCCTCCTGCTCTGCTATGCGTACATCTATGTGTAGTCTGCCAGCATTCTCATACATTCTAAGATTTTTGTAGGTTTGTTATTAATTAGGTAGGTTTGATTCTGATTGCACTGAATTATGAGTGAGAAATGTTTCTACTCAAGCACATCGTTTGTTTATTAAAAATATAAAAGTACCTTTTATGAAGAAAAAGCGAAGTCAGACACTTTTAGCAGATATTTTAGCTCATAATTAACTAGAATCACACATTAGTGCTAAGCCGCTAAGTTTTACTATTTTCTACCTGTTTCTACCAATCATTTTTATTTTTCTCCGATTGAACGAGCTAATTCCTCCTCGCTAATTCCACCTGATGAGTGCCTCATTCTTTTAGTCTAGAGCCTGAATTCGATTTTTTCCGCATATAATTCATGTTCATGTTTGTTTTTTATTGGCTCTCATCACATTTTCGGTATACTTCAGTAGTTTCTCTTCGCGATTTTTGAAAGTAATATTGTTTTCGTTAGTCAGTTTTATTGTAAGTTTTGCCAGATTTAGAAGAAAAGCCATCGAGACTTTCGAACATATGAAAACACTTGTTCGTTTTTGTATCCTTCCCAATGTTCTATAAGTCCTATGATAAGTCCACATAAAAGTATTACGACTACTGATGCATAAGAATTTTGTACTAACCCAGGTCGAACGATACGGTCCGTATACGGACGGTCTACTGGACGCAGGAATACAGACCGTAACATCATTAAAATAGGGTCGTATACGGCCGTATTTTCACAATATACGGCCCGTAAACGGTACCGTTTCTGGGCACAGTAATACGGGGTCGTATACTGTGAAAATACGGCCGTATACGACCCTATTTTAAGGATGTTACGGTCTGTATTCCTGCGTCCAGTAGACGGTCCATAACGGATATCCGTTTTGGTCGACCTGGGAATCCAAGTTTTACTGCGCGTATGAATACCTTCTGTATTCTAGAGAAGGCCAGCAAACGTGTGCTATTTTTGAAAAAGGCTTATTAGACTGTTTTTTTAAAAAACCCTTTTCAAGTTACTTCATTTTTATAAAATTCCGTGAAAAAAGAGTTTTATTATACGATTTATACGAGTAGAAGAGAGAAAAAACGTATTACTACTTTTTGCTCTCCATATTCTTTTTCTCGAATGTAACCGCATGAGTTGATGTATAATATGCGTCTATATACATTATCGTTTATTTAACAATGCTATCCAATTGATGATTTGCGTCGGTGGATACTTGCAGACATCCAGAGTATACATGCGAATATTTTCTTTTTGCGGAACAATATAGGCTGACATAGCACGGGCAACAATTGTGCTTAATCTTTGCTTCTTAGTCCTCTGAGTTTCCCTTTTTTCTCTTTTTGAGAAGAACTATCTGATACAGTTTCCTTCAGCTGGGATGAACAAGCAGTCGAAGGTCAATATATCACTCACTTTGCTCAACGATGCTGCATACCAATATCTTAATACTATTTATATGTATGCTGCACACTGCGTATTATATGTATACAGCATGATACAGAGAAATCAGAATAATGGGAAAAGAATACACGAAACACTCAACATAAAATTCAATCATGCATGTCATCACACTGACACTTTTCTTGATATTAAGTAATCTTTATGAACAAAAATTATCGTAAATCATCCTTGGCATCAACCAATCAAGTCATTTTTCTTCGTGTTAAGGAGGAATTTCGAAGAAACTTGAACAAGCATGCCAGTAAAACATTCCATATCGAGCTGATTTTTACACCACATGTTGTAGCTCTACTACTGTTGCTGAGTGAAATCTGAAAATATTTTTGAATGAGATGTGATGGTTGCCGAGCTACAGGTTCACAAGCCTTATCGTGAACAAAATTGAGAATCATATTTTTAGCAAAGAGAGCTTGCTGAGAGGAGCACTGACTTTATTAATCGAGAAAATAAAATCACGAATTTTGTGGAACTTGTTAGTATGAAGTCAGTTTTCATCATAATTGCTTTTGGAGAATGGCCAGAATCACTTATAAAGTTATAGTTTTTAGGTGGAAAAGCACTTTTGTCTAATACTGGATCAAAATTCCAGACCTAATCATGTATTTTACCCTAAAATGTGGCACAAAAACCTGATTTTCTAAGTTGACGACTTGACTTGATTTTTCAGGCCAGGTCACAAGTCAAGTCAAGTCTTTTCAAGAAATCTCCAAATCAAGTCGAGTCATGAGTCACAAAAAAATTTATGAAGTCAAGTCAATTCATTTTTGACTTGAGTTGAACCAAGCCATTTTTAACTTTAACAGATGCTGCTTTATCCAACGCTTTGCTTATGCATGCACGACAACACATAGTATCTTACTGTAAAATTAAAAAAAAAGCAGTTCAAAGCAACATTCTTTACTAGACAACGTGCTGCTGACAAGTATCCTTTTATCAACATCTATTTGTCTTTTTCTGACATATATTCTTATATTGTTTAATCGATATCGATACTTTAAACTACAAAACATTCCAACACCACCGTACAGGTTATTTTTTTGGTCATTTAAAACAATGTGGAATACGCCATTAAAGTCCAAAGAAAGGAAAAAAGGAAATCTTGAGGTTTTCTAAGGTTCAAGTTCGAAGAAAACAGTCCAAGAAGCGTGCTTTTCTGTATATTTTTCCGGATGTAATTGCTGATCTGCAACGATCTCACGCTGTACTCTGTAGTACATGTCATTTCAGTTACACAGTGTGCTAAAATAGGGCTGCTGATGTGTTCTAAGTCCTAATCCCCTAACATAATGCTGTCTAGTTTTTAATCTGATTCCTTACTTTTATTCACTTTCAAATTTCAATCGACAGCAGGGGAAGTTCTGTTGTCTCCGAAAAGATTCAGTAAGTCAGTAAGACCACTACTCCTTGAATACAGACTGCAATGCCCTAATCGTAGTTGAGCAATGTAACTGTTCGCGTAAACGGATGTATTACTATTGAAGTACTATGCTATATGTACAGCCATAAACGAAACTTCAAAACAAAAAGTGGTCTACCTCTCCTTAAGAGATCGATAAGAAGGACTAGTTAGTATAATAAACTGATACAGCCCAATCGGGATATAAAGTATAATTCTATGTAACCAGTGACTTTTGTCTGGAAAAAAATGGTTGACTGGGAAACAGCATGACATATCAGCTGATCCAGTATTTCATGCTCTTGCTAACCGTATAGTGGGGGTTTTCGAATGAAGAAGATCAATCTAAAAGTTAAGAAGCTAACATTCCTAATGGATTATAGGCCATGGAATTCTGCTGCATGATGTAATAAAACTTCAGCAACAGTAAAACAAGCGGTTCTTCAACTAAATATAGAACGACTGTTTTTTGAGGTTTAATTCCATCAACGTCGTAACATGTCTGGCATAACCGTAAAATAAAATTTTATCAGCTAACCCTTGATACATACGAAAACAGCTCGATCAACTTTTTTACATTGAATGCTACCATTTGGATAGAGAATGTCATCCCTTGGATACTTACAAGCGTAACGAATCATTTGTTCATATTTCATGGTCGACGTTCTCTAATTTGTGAAATTTTTTTTCTGTGCCGCTTATGGTTGTGGTTAGTTGATCTGCTAAGCTCAAAATAATATCTAGCTTCGGTATCGTATAGTATACAAAATACGCCAACAAAATGTCTGTTTTCCCTTGGTTCAGCTCGACAGGTTCAGCCCCGATTCGTCGACATTTTATACTGTCGGCGCCTGACTATCATGTTTTATCTTCCCTCGCCAATGTTGTCGACTATTCACGAAAAAAATTTAATGAGTCGACGAATCGAAACGATGCGACACGAGTTAAAAGTTCGACGATTATTTTTCACAAAGGCTTCATTTGATAAAACAAATTTTGTTTTCAAAAATAGGTGACGTTGAGCTCTATTTTTGTCTTTTCTGCCAAAGAAGTAACTTTGTCAACTTCGAAGCTACCGAGATACAATGTAAAGCGATTTCGTGACAAATTTTGAACTATTATGTATTTTGCGATTACTATTAGAATTATTAACTTTTTCTGACTGCTAATGATATTAACGAAAATATCATGTTTTTCATTCAGATATCTTCTCACCTCCTCCTTTATAACAACCGCGTATCTGTCGCAAGCTGATTTTCCGGCTTGAGGATCGGAAAAGTCGATTCTTTCGACTTGAATATTCGTGTTTAGTGACACCTGAGCTGGTGACAATATGGTCGATGCGGAATGATAGTATCCAACGTTATTCGTTCTCAGAAATGCATGTTTAATCGAATTATCTTCCGTTTTGACTCTTTTTAGAGCATTCTGTAAAATTGCTATAACCGCTTCCGAGTCTTACGTACAATGATCTATGGCTTGTACGTATATTTTTTTTGAATAGTTATTCTCAATCGGATAAACAGTTTCTTCCTCTTCTTCTTCGTCGTCGTTTTCCGTAACTGTATCATCGCTTTCGTCTGCGGAGGATGAGGAGTTTGATCCCTACTCTGACACTGTATCCTTGCTACTTTCTTTCTTAACCACCACCGAAATATGCCAAGAGAGTCCTTTCTTGCCAAAGAAATTTTCCTGCGATTTACGATATTTTTCAGGCAACCATTTCATCGCCCTGTCTATATAGACGAACACTGTATCAATCTGTAAATTATTCACTAATTCTTGTCTCCAGAGATCTTGGTTGACAGGTCTTAGTAACTATGCCTTCCGTGCATCGATTGCATCACTAAACATTCGCAGCTTAGCACGGGCTCTGTCAAATAGTTCACGATCATCGACCAAGTTTTTTATTTCATTTTCAATCGTTTCCAGTGTTGCTGCCAAATCTCCATATTCATTACACCGATCATTATGTTTGTGATCACATTTTTAGTGAAATCATCATCCATTAGAGATGACAAAGCGTACTTGATACAATGATCTGCAACGGTCGATTCTTAACTAATACGTACTTTATAATGTAATTTGAATTATATACAAGCACGTCTGATGTTGTCAATAAGTGATCGTTTACTATTTATATCGAAATTCAACTCTTCGATCAACTAGACTAAATCATCGAATGCCTGTTACGTCCGCATTGGTCACAAAATAGTTGATACCTTGGATGCTCTGTCTTGTTGAGGCTTTGCAAGCATACAGAAGACTTAGTAAACTTGTACGTCCGAGTGGAGGAAAACCAGGCTTATTTTCTTCCGTATAAGCGTAATATTGATCAATTATTCTTGTAGGAATGAGGTTCCGAATCGTGTTCGGAACAAAGACTTGTGTTCCGTTCGACATTTGTAATATTTGTTCTCCGAGAGGAAGATCTGTATATATATGAGGAGACAAAATAAAATCAATATAGTGTATAACATTGCATTGTCTCCAGATTTACGTTCAAGTTTCTTCCCTACTCCATATTGCAGTGCATGGCGTCGTGCTGCTGTGAAACGATATGCTTTTAGGCCAGGAATGAATTTTGTTGAGTAGTATAAGCCACTATCGATAATGTTTCCTGTCTAGTGGTCCACGAATCTGCGTTTCTATACGATTCTGCTACGGCTTCAACTACGGTTACAAATTGTTGATCTAACACACAAATTTATGAATCTTTTTTATTATGGAATATATCATCGAGAATATCGGGAGCGTCATTCGGTGCTATGAATGTAGCCACATTTTGCAGAATAGAACGACAGTCAAAGAGATAATTTTTCTCTTTACCCATATTACGGTAATCTTCGTTAATCCATACTTCTTTCTTATAGTGGTTTATTTTCAAAAATTTGTTCAATGTTTCACGTTTCAACTGTATACTGCATGCACTCTCCTCTTCAGCCTCATTGATGCTGGTCGTTGTTTCCGGTATATAATCATCATCTCTGTTACTGCTTGATGAATCGTCGATGAACCACATTATCCCACCTGTTGCGACACGAAGGGCATATCCATTCACCATAGGCATTACAAACTTCAAAGACAAGTAAAAGCTTACAAACCTGCGAGCATTACAAAAAAAAAGAGAAAATCAGGAATAAAATAACTAGAATAATCGAAAACTTATGATAAGCCAAACAACTCAATACAATCGACCATGCTGAACCTCGTGGCAACTGGCAACGTGTGCTTTTCGAAAAGAATCCCAAAACCTAAGAGAAAGTATATTTAGTGAAATAATCTATATTTTATCTGCTCAAATGGTTTTCTAGTTAAGAATAGTAAAAAATACTCTTTTACTTCAGAGGGTCTCTACAAAAACTTTTCAAAAAACTCAGGTATG